CACACGTCCGAGCGGTGCCAGGCACCATGGCGGCGAAGCAGGCGACCCCGCACCCCTTGTGGCGGCGGAGGGGCACCTGGCCATGGCATCGGATCGGCAGCGCGCCGCCGCCCGCACTCAGCCCCAGCGGCAGCGCCAGGGGGTAGGACCTCAGGGACCGCTGCACCCCCCCTTCTGTCATCTCCTTCTCGGCCACAGCACGATCCTCACGATCCTGAATACCCAAATCATCCGACACACCCTGATATAATCATCCCCACCCTTCTCCTGATCAGAATCGTCATCACCACCAGCATCATCATCACCACCACCAGCATCATCATCATCATCATCATCATCATCAGCATCAGCATCATCATCATCATCATCATCACCATCATCATCACCATCAGCATCATCAGCGTCATCATCATCATCATCATCAGCATCAGCATCATCACCATCGCCATCATGCTTATCATCATCGACATCATCATCAGCGTCATCATCATCATTATCATCATCATCATCATCATCGCCAGCATCACCATTACAATCATCATCACCATCACTATCATCATCATTATCAGCATCGTGATCACCATCACCACAATCATGTTCATCATCGTCAACACCATATCATCATACTCGTCATGATCACCGTAACCTGCATCACCATCATCATCGTCCCCATCGCCATCATCGTGGCCGTCGTCGTCATCGTCATCAGACACATCATCAAAGTCATGATCGTCAGAAATCAGCTTTATCCATCAGCATCACCGTCGTCACCATCATCATCACCATCATCATCATCATCATCATCATCATCATCACCATCACCATCATCATCATCATCATCATCATCGATATCGTCAGCATCTTCATCATCGTCATCATCACTATCATAACTACCATCATCACCACCATCACCATCCGCATGGTCATCAGCATCAACATCGTCATCATCATAATCATGATCATCATCATCATCAACATCATCATCACCATCATCATCATCGTCACCACAACCATCAGCATCATAATCATCATCCTCATCCTCAAGCTCAACCTCCTTATCATCAGTACCTTCATGATCATCATGGCCAACATCGTCATAATCGTCATCATCACCATCATCTTCATCGTCACCACGCAATCGCAATCATCGTCATCCTCATCGTCATCCTCATCGTCACCATCGTCATCGTCGACACCATCGTCATCATCGTCATCATCATGACCCAATGATCACAAGCATCATCGTAAACATCATCGTCTTCGTCATCGTCACCATCGTCATCATCAACATGATCATAATCAGAATCATAATCATCATCATCATCAGTATTATCAGTATCATCAGTATCATCAGTATCATCAGTATCATCATCATCATCATCATCATCAGCATCATCATCATCATCATCACCATCGTCATCACCATCAGCATCATCAGCGTCATCATCATCATCATCATCATCAGCATCAGCATCATCACCATCGCCATCATGCTTATCATCATCGACATCATCATCAGCGTCATCATCATCATTATCATCATCATCATCATCGCCAGCATCACCATTACAATCATCATCACCATCACTACCATCATCATTATCAGCATCGTGATCACCATCACCACAATCATGTTCATCATCGTCAACACCATATCATCATACTCGTCATGATCACCGTAACCTGCATCACCATCATCATCGTCCCCATCGCCATCATCGTGGCCGTCGTCGTCATCGTCATCAGACACATCATCAAAGTCATGATCGTCAGAAATCAGCTTTATCCATCAGCATCACCGTCGTCACCATCATCATCACCATCATCATCATCATCATCATCATCATCATCACCATCACCATCATCATCATCATCATCGATATCGTCAGCATCTTCATCATCGTCATCATCACTATCATAACTACCATCATCACCACCATCACCATCCGCATGGTCATCAGCATCAACATCGTCATCATCATAATCATGATCATCATCATCATCAACATCATCATCACCATCATCATCATCGTCACCACAACCATCAGCATCATAATCATCATCCTCATCCTCAAGCTCAACCTCCTTATCATCAGTACCTTCATGATCATCATGGCCAACATCGTCATAATCGTCATCATCACCATCATCTTCATCGTCACCACGCAATCGCAATCATCGTCATCCTCATCGTCATCCTCATCGTCACCATCGTCATCGTCGACACCATCGTCATCATCGTCATCATCATGACCCAATGATCACAAGCATCATCGTAAACATCATCGTCTTCGTCATCGTCACCATCGTCATCATCAACATGATCCTAATCAGAATCATAATCATCATCATCATCATCATCATCATTATCATCATCAGTATTATCAGTATCATCAGTATCATCAGTATCATCAGTATCATCATCATCATCATCATCATCATCATCATCATCATCATCATCATCATCATCATCATCATCATCATCTATCAGTATCATCAGTATCATCAGCATCATCAGTATCATCATCATCATCATCATCCTCCTCCTCCAACTCATCTCCTTCGTGCCTCGGCGCCCTGCCCACTCTCTTCCTCCTCCCGGGCCCCCCTCGCCCCCTTCGGTCCAGCGGCGGCGAGCGGACGTCGACGGCGGACGGCGGCCGACGCCCGCCGAGCCACTGAGAAACGACGCCGAGCGACGGCGGGCGACGGACGCCGACGGACCGCGGACGAGCCGCGCCGGGCGACGGCCGCAGATTCCGCGGGGGCGGCGGGCGGCGAGGCGCGCCCGGACTGGGGACGGGGCTCGGCCCACGCGGCGAAGCGGCAGAAGTTCGCCACGCCCTGCGCCTGCCAGAGGGCCACGATGACGACGGCAGCGACGACGACGACGATGACGACGGCGACGACGGCGGGGACCATATCCCTGCCCCAATCCCTCGTCCTTCCCCCCCCCCGTCCTTCTCCTCCCGCCTGCCGCGTGGGATCGGGGAGGAGGGAGGGCAGGGGAGAGGAAGGGGGGGGAAGAGGGACGGAGGAGGATTGACAGACGAAGGGGGGAAGAGGGAAGGGGAGCGGGGGACAGAGGGGTCAAAAAAGGAGGGGGCGTGCACCCAATCATGTGAAAAGGCTGTTTTTATTCGACAGCGAGCTGACATAGATGTGGTTCTTGTGCAGGCATCGAGTGCGCGCGCAGGAATCTGGCAATGCCGTGATGGCAAAAGCAAGAGGAGGAGGAATAATGGGAGGAGGGCTATCTGGACTACCGATGAACGGAGGAGGAAGAGAAAGGGGAGGAGGACAAAGACAAGAACAGGGCAAACCGCAGGACGCGAAGAGCTGAATGGGAGACAAGTGTTTTTCTAATAGGGGGTTCCACCAGCATTGAAGAGCACATGAGGTAAGGCATATTGATGCTGGTTCAAAATATGCACATAAGCTGTGTACACATATATACATATAGACATACGCGCTTGTTTACACATGTCTGGAAACTTCTGGTACATCAATGATGTGTGCATGATGTTGGCATGCGCTTGCGGCGGCGCACGCATGTGCCAAACATGACATCTTGCACTTGGGAATATCCGGACACATATTCACCATGCAAGCGTGCGCGCGCAACATAATGACATCATCGCATGCGTCCAGAATGACTGGAGGCGATACTGGGTTTGGCTGGAAAGCCATGGCTTGTGTTTACGACGGGTCATCGTGCATAACGAAAACCGAAACATTGCATTAGAAAGGAGAACGGTTGACCCCCCGGCCTTGGCGGAGTTGGTGGGAGGGTGGGGGGCAAGGTCGAGTTGAATATCTTTTCTGCAAAGGACTAAGCAACCATTTGCCATCTGTGCAGTGTAAGCGGTGGTGTGCCAGCTTTACCGCGCTATCTATGAGACGTAAGCTGTGCTGTGTCATATATACAAAATATGCGTGTATATGTATGTGTATATATATGTGTGTATGTACAACTATAAGTATATTTATATATACACATGGATGAATATATATATATATATATATATATATAACTATAAAAATATATAAATATACACATACGAGAGCGCGCGATCTACCGCCGCTTGACTGTGGAAAATTCCCCCCTCTTCCTCTGGAACCCGGGGGTCCCCCCCTCCCCTCCGAAAATCCCCCCCTCCCCCTGCGGGCCCCTCCCCCCCTTCCTCCCGGCCCCCCCCCCCCCCCCTCCCCTATAGCCCCCCCTCCCCCCTCCCCGTAAAAACCTGGGGGGGGTCACACCGGTTCGAACCCCCCCCCCTCCTCCGGAAAACTGGGGGGTCACTACCGTTCGAACCCCTCCCCCCCCCCCAGAACACCAGGGGGGGTCACTACCATTCGAACCCCCCCTCCAAAACCGGGGGGGTTCACTACCGGTTCGAATCCCCCTCCCCCCCCTCTCCTCCTAGAAAACAGGGGGGGTCACTACCGGTTCGAAGCCCTCCCCCCCCCACCCCACGCTCACCGCCAGCAAACGTCTCCCGGGTCCCTACCACCGTCCGCACCACATCCCCCACTGCTGTCCCCAGCACCACTGTCCTCACCACCACTGTCCCCACTGTTCCCCCCCACCACTGTCGCACTGTCCCCACTGTCCCCGCTGTCCCCACAACTGTTTCCACAACGGCTCCACTCTCCCCACTTTCTTCACGGCCCCAACCACTGTCCCACTGTCCCCACTGTCCCACTGTCCCCGCCGCTGTCCCACTGTTCCCACCACTCTCCCCACTGTCCTCACCACTGGTCCCATTGTACATCTGTCCCATTGTCCCACCGCCGTCGTCGCCACCGCCCTCACCAGTCCCCACCATTACTGCACCCTCCACTGTCCCACTGTTTCCACCACGTTCCCACTGTCCCCACACCACTGTCCCCACCACTGTCCAATTGTCCCCATTGTTCCCACCATTGTCCCCGCTGTCCCCACCAGTGCCAACACCAGTGTCTCTCTGTCACCACTCTCCCCACCAATGTCCCACCACGGTCCCGCTCCCCCCACTTTCCCTACGGCCCCCACCACTGTCCCACTGTACCCACCACTGTCCCACTGTCCCCGCCGCTGTCCCACTGTGCTGTCCCACCGTCCCCACTGTCCGCATCACTCTCCCACTGTCCCCACTGTCCCCACCACTTCCCCCACCGTACTACTGTCCCACCACTGTCCTCACCACCGCCTTCACCACTGTCCCCATCCTTGTTCCTTATTAAAATATACCCCTACCTGCCTCGTATTCCGGCCGATAGGGGCCCAATCCGGGACCTCCCATCCGGACTGTAAAAAATCAATGCAAAGTGGCCGTTCTTCTTCTCAACATCGTCTTTCTTGTCGTCGACGATGCGAAAAGCGTGGCAGGAATGGGACGCGGCGCACATCGCGCGCGGCAGTCAATCTGGGCCCGCCCATCCTGACTGTAAACAACACATACGAAGTCTTCGTTTTTTCATCTCAGCATGGCCTGTCTTGTCGCCGACGGTGCGAAAAATGTGGCAGCAGTGGGGCGCGGCGCACATATGGGACGCGGCGCACATCGCGCGCGGCCGTCAATCAATACAAAATCTCGGTTTTTTCCTCTCAGCATGGCCTGCTTTGTCGTCGACGATGCGAAATGCGCGGCAGGAATGCGGCGCGGCGCACATCGCGCGCGGACTTCTGGGGCAACCCCAAGGCGGGAGGGGCCACCTTACTGGTCAGAAGCAATGCCATGCTGATTTTCGCTTGCCCACATAGCTGTTCTTGTCGTCCACCCCGCAAAAGCGCATGGCAAGACTTGGGCGCGGCACACACACCCCCCGCTCGAAGTGAATGAAATGACCTTCTCGCTTGGGCGCCGCGCGAAATTTTCTCAAAGTTGCGCTCCCGCTTTGGCTCGGCGCACGTTTTTAGCTCGCCAATTCATTGGGCGCCGGGGCGTTCCAGGAGGCCCTGGGGTGACGAATGCCTGGGAGGTTTTTGCTTGTTCAAGCTCTTGGAGGGCCTCCTGAGTCTCCCCGCGGTTTCTTGGCGCTACGGCCGTCTGGAGGCCATCTTGGGCGTCTTGGAACGATCTTTCGGCGACTCAGGGCTACTACTACTACTACTACTACTACTACTACTACTACTACTACTACTACTACTACTACTACTACTACTACTACTACTACTACTACTACTACTACTACTACTACTACTACTACTACTACTACTACTACTACTACTACTACTACTACTACTACTACTACTACTACTACTACTACTACTACTACTACTACTACTGACTACGACTACTACTACTACTACTACTACTACTACTACTACTACTACTACTACTACGACTACTACTACTACTACCACTACGACTACTACTACTACTACTACTACTACTACTACTACTACTACTACTACTACTACTACTACTACTACTACTACTACTACTACTACTACTACTACTACTACTACTACTACTACTACTACTACTACTACTACTACTACTACTACTACTACTACTACTATACTACTACGCGCCAGCACCCAGTTGCGCCAGCATTGTTTCTTATGTTGTGGGAGGGCGGAACGTGTCCGTTGTTCCTTTCAACATGGCCAGTCTTGTCGTCGACGTTGCGAAATTCGTGGCGGGAATGGGACGCGGCGCACATCCCGCGCGGACGTCAATGCGGTATCCTGGGGTATCCTCCACTCGCACCGAAATGGACGCGCAGCCCCCAGTTGTGCCATCACTGTTTCTTATGTTATGGGAGGGCGGGTGGGAATGGGCATGCCATGCTTGACTCGCTCGAGCTGGCTAGCTTGACCACTACCGTACCCACCACTGTCCCACTGTCCCCACCACTTTCCCGCTGTCCCCTCACCACTATCCCCACCATTACCGTCCCCACCACTGTCCCACTGTCCCCACCACTGTCCCGTTGTCCCCTCACCACCGTCCCCACCACCACCGTTCCCACCACTGTCCCAGCATCCCCACCATTGTGCAACTGTCCCGAGGAGCGGGAATCGATTGCCGGCGGCGACGGTGGGAGGGGGGGGGGGTTCGGTTCGGTCTGATCTTCCACAGTTTTCGAGGGGGGGGGAGTTCGAACCGGTAGGGACCCCCCCCCCCTTTTCATGATGGACTGGGGTGGGGGGGGGAGGGTTCGAACAGGTAGTGACCCTCCCCGGTTTTCGAGGGGGGGGGGGGGAGGGGGGGGGGACGGGTTGGGAATCCCCAGTGACCTCCCCCGGTTTTCCGCCAGCAGCGGTAGAACACGCTCATTCATATATTCATCTACACAGCGATCTATATATAATATATATGTATATAATGTATAATGTGTATATATATATATATATATATATATATATATATATATTCTTATACGCACCTCTCCGAGGGAGTAGAGCTCAGAGGCGATTAATGCATCCGTCGTTCGCGATTTGTCTGGCCGTTTCGCTCGGGACATCCTCGAAATTCTGAAAATCGGTGGCACCCCTCACGCAGATCGTGGCGTCAGGGTCCAAAAACACATAGGATCTCCAACATTTTATCATAAAACCTTCAAAAACACATGGTAATTTCAATGATTTTGACTCCGATTCTCAGAGGATGGCGGTTTCGCCTGAGACATCCTCCCAAAATCGAGCCCCAGACCCCTCCTCGGAGCCTCCTGGGGGCCTCCTGGAACCTCCTGGGGCCTCCTGGGGCTTTCTGGACCTTCTGGTACCCCAGACCCCGCCTCGGAGCCTCCTGGAGTTCTCCTGGGCCTGCTGAGGCCGCCTGGGGCCTCCTGGGGCCTCCTGGGGGGGCTTCAGAACTACATGCACACACAGAGACACAAATCACGCCCAACACATCACACGCTAGACAAACATAACATACACACACACACACACCGACAACACGCAAAAAGCACGCACCACACAAAGCACACATCACACACACACACACACTCACAATCCTGGGGCCTCCTGGAGCCTCTCCTGGTATCCAAGTCGGGCCTCCTGAGGCTTCCTGGGGGGCCCTGGTACACACATCGCAAGGTGTGGCAACCCCACTTGCGCTCGAGTGCGACTTCGCTGTTGCATGTCACTCCTACTTCAAACGCCCCTTCAGCTTGTTGTATGAGCCTGGGCACACACGTGCCACTTGTATATATGTACGTATATATATACAGATACACATACACACATACAGATCTATATGGTGTCGGCAATGTGTTGGCTGTGTGGTGCGAGCGAATGCGGTGCAGCCTGTGGTGCGCGCCCACGAGCTGCCCGCGGGCGGCCGCTGAGCGGCACCTCGGCGAGCCCACCCGGCGCACGGGGGGTGCCGCACGGCGGGCCACCGGGCGATGCCCCGGCAGGCCCGCGCAGCGCGCGGGGCGCCCAAAGAGGCAGCCACCGGCCAGCCACCGGGCGAAGCCGTGGCAGGCTCACGCAGCACGCGGGGCGCCCCAAAGAGGCGCCCACGGGCGGCAACCTGGCGAAACCTCAGCCCACCGCTCCAATCCTCAATCCTTCGAGAATCCCGGCTGGAGCCCCAGGTGCAAACGCTGTCTGGGGAATGGTTGTGGTGCTGTCACCGTTTCGATTCCGATGAGTTCTTGAGGCCTCAAGGTAACGCCTGTATGGCCCAAGCGGGTCCCAAGAGGGACCCCGGAGGGCACCAAGACGGCTCCAGGAGCGGCCAAGAGCGCCCCAAGAGACAAGTTGTCGGCTTTCAGCGGGGGGCAATAGTTGGGACCCCTCCGCTTCTTTGGTCGAAAGCCTACAAGATGGCCCCAACAATGCCCCCAAGTCCCCCAAGAAGGGCCAAGGAGAACCCCAAGGGGGTCCCAGGAGGGCCCCAATAAGGCCCAGCAGGTTTCCAGACTTTATGCAAGCTGGATCTAATAGGCTCCCCGAATTCAAAATCTGCCATTGCTGGCCTCCTTGCTCCGTCACATGCTTACCTACGCCCCTCCTCCCAACAACTTCGCTGGGCATGGTTTCTGGACGGGCTGTTGTCGGGGTACCCTGAGCACGTTCAACAAACATGGCAATGCTGTTTCCCACTCCCAGGCCGGACGTTATCCTCAGGGTTGAGCTCCGTGGCAATTCGGTGTGTTTGGCACTGACTTCGAAGTGCCGCTGGGCGGGGGCCGCCCCAATCACCTACATCGTGATAGGAATGTTCAACGAGTCGCTTTAAGCGGACGGACGGAGGAGGACAAAAACAGGCGGAGGAGGACCAATGAAAGGAAAGGCATGCAGGAGGGAGGATGATGACTGGAGGGAGGTAGTTTGGGAGAACGAGCAGGAGCAACGAAGGACGAGCAGGAGGAGGACCACGAGGACGGGAAAGACCAGAGGTGGAGTGGCATGAACGCGGAGACGACGACCACCACCACGACAACGTTGACGACGACAACGACGTCGGGGGCAAGAGGGGGCGTCCAAGAGGGGGGGGGCGCAAATCATGGCAGGCGGCATGTGCGCGGCCCAAGGGGGGGGCAGGGACGTATTGAAATAAGAGGAGCCATGAAATCTGGGGAGATATCATGGCCCCCGCCATGACGTCCACCCCCCCCGAGTCTCGGCGGCGACGATGTGGGCGAATAGCCCAGGGACGGGCAGTACACGCATTCGCCCGGGAGCCCTGTCGAAGACACAGATCATCGGCGCCCCTGGATACATGTCTTGCTCCCCCCTGGGCTCTTGGCCCCTACCGTCGCCTCTGATAGTCCCCCCCTCGGGCGTTGACTGAACTGGGTTTAGTGGGACCTGGTTTATTGATGTGTACTGGGGGACGCCCCCCCCCCGCCCCGCTCCACTAACCGGAACTGCTGTCGCCCGCAAGAAACACGAGCTGCGGCAGACCTGGTTTAGTGATTCTGGCATGTTTCGGGGCTCCCAGGCCCTGTTGCTGAACGGGTCCCCTTACCTGGGGTCCTGGCTATACCCGACCCCCCCCCCTTGGCCGCCCCAGACGATCGGGAGCGGCCAAGAGGGGGGTGTCCAAGAGGGGGGGGGGTGCAAATCACGACCGGCGGCATATGTGCGCGGCCAGGCGGGGGGGCCAGGGACGTACAACGAAGCAAGAAGAGAGGAGCCATGACATCTGGGGAAATATCGTGGCCCGCGTCATGACATCCCCCCCCCTAGTCATCCCCCCCCTCCCTTCCGCCCCCGAGACGACAGCGACGACAGCGCGGAGGCACCTCGCCGCCGGTGTCGCACCACGCGCCCTCGATGAGGCCGCCGTCGGGTGCCTTCAGGCAAGCACGCAGAGCCTCGGAGAAGCGCGCCTGGTCGAGGTAGCCGGCGCCTTGCGAGCGCGGCTCCTCCCCTTCGAGCTCAAGCTCGGCTTGCTCGTCTTCATCCTTCTCGAGGTCGGCCTCCTCCTCCTCCTTCTCCTCCTCCTCTCGTCTCCACCTCATGCACCCTCTCGTCTGCTCCGCCTCCTCGCTCCTCCTCCCGTCCCTTCGTGCTCTGCTGCTTATTCTTCCTCGTCTGCATCCTTCTCCTCCACTATCCTTCTCCTTCTCCTTCTCCCTCCTCCTCCTCCTCCTCCTCCTCCTCCTCCTCCTCCTCCTCCTCCTCCTCCTCCTCCTCCTCCTCCTCCTCCTCCTCCTCCCTCCCGCTCCCCCCCCCGCTCCCAGCCCCCTCCATCTCCCACTCCACCTCCACCTCCACCTCTTCCTCCTTCTCCGATCACACCTCCTCCACAGCCCCCTTGCTTCGCGTCCTCCTGCATTTCTGCTCCCCCATCCCTCTTGTCTCTCATTCTACTCCTCGAACCCCTTCTCACCCTTGTCCTCCTTCCCCTCCTGCAATTCATCCCCCTGCTAATCCTCATCAGCCCTCGCTTCCCGCTGGCCCCAGCTGCGGTCCCCTCTCCTCTCTCATCTTCCTTCCCCTCCCTCTCATCATTCCTCCCTGCTTCCCCATCTTCTTCGTCCGCGTGATCCACTTCCTCCTCATCCTGCTCATCCTAGTCCTGACACCCAGCTCTACCTCTTCCCGTTTCTCCCTCTCCTCCGCCTCCTCAATATCCACCTCGCCTTGCCATCTCCTCCCCCTCCTCATCCTTCACCTGCTCCTTCACCGACAAATCCAACATATGCTCCGAATCCGCCGAATGCGTCACCTCCGTCATCTCCTCCTCGACTTCATCATCATCCCGCTTCTTCCCCTCGGCCTCCAACTCCTGCTACACCACCACATCCCCCTTATCTTCCTCCTCCTCATCTTCATCATCACCATCATCAATATCATCATTAGATTCTCCATTTCATCATTCGTATCAGGTTCATCGTCATCCTCCTCCTCCTCACCACCATCATCATACTCATAATCAACATCATCAGCATCAGTATCATCGTCCATACCATTATCATCAGCATCATTGTCATCGTCATCATCATCATCATCATCATCATCATCCCCTCCCCCACCAACCCCGCCACTGCCACAACAACCACCGCAACCATCATCAGCACCATCATCATCATCATCATCATCATCACCATCATCATCCTTGTTATTATCAACAACATCAGCGTCATCATCATCAGCGTCATCATCATCATCATCATCACCACCACCACCACCACCACCATCATCATCATCATCATCATCATCATCATCATTGCCATCCTTGCCATCATTATCATCATTACCAGCATCATCACCATCATCATCAGCATCAGCATCATAGTCATCAGCATTATCATCATAGTCATCACCATCATCATAATCAGCATCATCTCCATCATCAATGCCATCATCAACATCGCCATCGTCATCGCAATCACCATCAACATCATCATCGCAATCAGCATCACCACGACCATCCTCCTCCTCGTCCTACCCATCATCATCATCATCGTCGTCGTCGTCGTCATCATCATCATCATCATCATCAGCAGCATCGTCATCAGCATCACCAAATCACCAAAGCATCAGCGTCATCAACTCATTTAAATCATCGTCTTCAACGTAATCTCCATCATCGTCATTATCATTACGAATTCAACCCGAATCATCTTCATTACCATCGTCAACATCATCAGTATCAACAACATCACCACTCATCATATTCGTCATCAGTCTATTCGTCGTCATTATCAGGTTCGTCAGCATTATCATCATCACCATTGCCATCGTCATCGGCATCAGCATGTTTCTCGTCATCATCAGCATCACCAACCTCATCATCAACATCATCATCAGCATCAGCATCATGATTTTGAGTCTTACTATTATTAGTCGCATCAGCATCACAACATCACCGCGGTAGTGCTTGCAAGTCCTCGTCCATCATCCTCGTCATTGAGTCAATGTCCTGCATTCTTCCTTGCATATTCGGAAACGTTCGGGGCGACCAATCTGGCTGGGTCGGAATCGAGATCATACGGTGGACGAGCCAATGACAGGGGCCTCAAATCACTGTTCGGTGCCCCACGGAAAAGGAGACGACCAAGGAGCAGGAGGAGGAGGAGGACTAGGATGAGGCGGAGGAGTAGGAGGAACAATAAGAGGTAAACATGATCTGATAACAACCGATCGATCAATATAGCAGCAAGAGATGATCCCGAGTCGTGGCTTCACAGGCCCCCGCCCCCAAAGGGGGTGGGCCCCAAGGGTCCACATGCCCCCCCCCCCCCCTCCGATGGGATGGGGGCGGAGACGACGACGGCGCCGACGCCGACGCCGATGCCGAGGCCGGGGCCGAGGCCGACGTTGACGCCGACGCCGATGCCGAGGCCGACGCAAACGCCGACGGAAGACGACGACGACGACAACGACGACGACGACGACGAACCACCCCACACCATGCCACGCCCATCAGGGCCACGACTACAGGGCACAGGGGGGAGGGACCCATCGCGCGGGGGGGGCGGGGGGCCGAAGGCAGCAACATGCTGGGGGGGGCGGGGCGCCAGAGCCCTGGATCTTATATGACCAGGGGCAGGATCTGCTCAGAATGCGACTGCACCAGAATTGAAGAGCGCGCTGCAAGCCAAGCGTCAAGACAATGGTCAACCACTGACGAGAGCACTCCGAACGCTCAAAATCTGGCTCCAGAGGCTGTAAGGCTTCTCCCAGAGTCCCGGGCTTGTCTCGGAGGTGCTCAAGTTTCTCCCTCGGATTGCCTCGGATGTGATGCGAAGGGTTGCACTGCAGCACCGCGGCGAGTGTTGACTAGAAGAAGAAGAAGAAGAACGAGAATAATAATAATAATAACAAGAAGAGTAATAAGAAGAAGACAAACAACAACTGCAATCACATAAACTTTCCGAGCCCCGCGCGGATTTCTGGGATCCGCGCTGGACCCCCCTCCCTGGCGCGCGGAGCGTGCCAGGGGCGGCGCCAGGGGCGGCGCCAGGGGAGGCGCCGCCGGGGGAGCCCAGCGCAGATCCGAGGAATCCGCGCGGAGCGGCCGGAGGACCTATCGGCCAAGCCAGGACTGCGCCATCGGGCGCAATCGGGGGCCGAGGGCAGATCCCTGGGCCCATCTCCTGAAGGGTGCAGTAGGCACTCCAAGCACGAGATTTTGGCGAAAAATTGGAGAAGAGGAAGAGGAGGAGCAAGTGGAGCACGAAGACGAAGTGGAGGAGGAGGGGGAGGAGGCAGAGGAGGACACCGAAGAGGAGGAGAGAGAGGGAGGACGAGGAGGAGGAGGAGAGAGAGGGAGGACGAGGAGGAGGAGGAGGGGGAGGAGGAGGAGGAGGAGAAGGAGGAGGAGGGTGGCGACGAGGATGAAGAGCAAGGAGGGGGGGGGGCGAAGGAGGAGAGAACAGAGATAGAGATTGCCGATCGACGCGCCGGCGACGATCCGGGCTGCGAGGTCGGACTCCCGTAAGGCCGGCGCCCTCGGGGTCGAAGTAGGAGAACCTCGGGGGGGGGGGGGGGGCCGTCCCCCGACCACCCGTAAGTCGGGCGTGTCCGTGTCCCCACAGGGGGATGCTGGACGAAAAACAAGACATACACCCTGCGAAATGCTTAGGAAATCATGGGTTGAGAAATTCATAGTCTCAGAACTTGAATAAAAACCCAACATTTCTATCAAAATCTTGGGATTTACATTAAAACGTTAAGAATAATCGAGACTCTGGACGAAAACTTAGGTTTTATTAAGCATCGCCTAAGGTGTACCCAGAACATACTCAAAAATAGTCCAATAGAACTCATAGGAAGATCGTCCCCAGACTATGGTTTGGCTATTCTTGAGTCTTCCTCCTGTAGAGGGACAGGCCCGACTTGAGACCACCCCGCAGCGTGCCCCCCGAGCGCAGGGAGCGGGAGCACCTTTGAGGTGAGAGGCGTCGGAGGGCAGCATGGAGGGATGAGGGCGGGGGGGGGGCAGTGGGCACGGGAGGGGCGAGGGAAGTCATGGGCACGAGGAGGGCGAGGGAAGTGACGGTGGGCACGAGGTGGACGAGGCGGGGGGGGGACGAGGGGGGGGGTGATATGGGCACGAGGAGGACGAGGGAAGCGACGGGCACGAGGAGGACGACGGGGGGCCTCCTCCTCCTTCTTTCTCCCGCTCCTCCTCCTGCTCCTCCTCGTCGTTGTTCCTCCTACTCCTCATTTCTCCTCTGCTGTTCCTGCCCTGGCCCATGTCGGCACACCCCTTACGCGCTGCCTGCCCCCAGGCGGAGCTCCTCTCATGGCCCCAGTGGGGGGTTCCACTCGGCGTCCCCGCGCACATTTCGGCTCACCTCTCACACGCTGCGTGGCCCCCCAGGGAGCTCCACCGATGGCCCCAGCGGGTGCGTTCGCACGGCGTCGCCCTGCCCATTTCGACGCGCCCCTCATACGTTTCCTGCCGCGCCGTTCCATTGCGTGCGTTTGCATGGCGTCGTCCTGCCCTTGTCGGCACGCCCCTCACTCGTTTCCTGTCCCCCAGGGAGCTCCACCGAGAGCCTCAACGGGTGCGTTCGCATGTCGTCGCCCTGCTTATGCTGATTTGCTCCTCACTCGTTTCGTGCTCCCCCCCAGGGGGCTCCACCGAGGCCCCCACTGGGTGCGTTTGCATGGCGTCGCACCGCACATGTCGGCACACCCTTGTCCCCCAAGGAGCTCCACCGAGGGCCTCAACGGGTGCGTTCGCATGGCGTCGCACCGCACATGTCGGCATACCCCTCACACGTTTTGTGGCCCCCCAGGGAGCTCCACCGAGGCCCCCACTGGGTGCGTTCGCATGGCGTCGCACCGCTCATGTCGGCACACTCCTCACACGTGTCGTGGCCCCCCAGGGAGCTCCACCGAGGACCCCAGCGGTGCGTTTGCATGGCGTTGCCCTGTCCATTTCGGCACACCTCTCACACGCTGCGTGGCCCCGAAAGGAGTTCTACCGACGGGCCCCAGCGGGTGCGTTCGTATGGCGTCGCCCTGCCCACGTCGACACGCCCCTCACACAATTCCCGCCCCTCGAAGAGCCCCGCCAAGGGCTCCAGCGCGCGCGTTCGCATGGCGTCGCCCTGCTCATTTCGACACGCCCCTCACACGATCCCCGCCCCCCAAAAGAGCTGCACCGAGGGACCCACTGGGTGCGTTTGCATGGCGTCGCCCCGCTCAATTCGGCACACCTCTTGCACGTTTCCTGTCCGAGCTTCATTGAGGGCCCCATTGCGTGCGATTGCATGGCGTCGCCCCGCCCATTTCGGCACACCCCTCACGCGCTTCGTGGCCGCATATGGAGCTCCACCGGGGGGCCACAGTGGCTGCGCTCGCATGCGGTTCCGACCCATTTCGGTAGAGTTTTGGGCAAACGAGGCCCCCCCCTCCGGATGGGATGGGTCTCAGAGTCCCTCGGGCCCCACCCCCACCCCACCCCAAGATGTGATGGGGGGGAGCGACGACGACGATGACGACGACGAAAACACCGATGACGAAAACACCGTCGACGACGATGCTGCTTCTCTTCCTGCTCCCTCCTCCTCCTCCTCCTCCTCCTCGTCCTCGTTCTCCTCCTCCTCCTCCTCCTCTTCTTCTGCCTCCTGCTCCATGATGGGGCGGGGGGAGGGCAGGACCCCATACCTACCACCACTTTCCCACAGGGGAAGACCCAACCACACCACTCCCACATGGGGGGGCCATCGCGCGGGGGGGTGCCGGGGGGGGGGGAGGGGACAAAATGGCATCAGCACGAAGGGATGGGGGCCTGGACCCTGGATCCAATATGGCGTGCCATCTCTGTGTGGTGCGGGCCTGTGTGAAACCGTTGCGTCGCAACACATGCTGTGCAGTCCGTGTGCTGTATTATAAATATATATATATATATGTATGTGGTGCAGCAGATTGTGTGAGATCTATGTGGGGGCCCGTATGTGGTACGATTTGTGGTGCAATTAACTTCTGCTCGCAGTGAATTGTTCATCCCACTGCTCGCGCAATCATCCCACCCACCCACCCCCATTTTGGTTTACAAAACCCACGCGGCGGCGAGTGCGAAGAATGCTTGGGGTGGACTGGTGCCTCTCTGCGGCCGCGCTAGCCCGCGCATGCTCGCGCGCGCAGCGGCTATCTAATTTAGCGCGGCCAACGCGGCCGCGGTGGCGCTGACCGCTGGGCACCCCCAAGCGGGCCTCTCCAGTGCGGTTCGGCGGCTTGGACTCGCCCGAAATCGATGCAACATCCACATCAGTAGTCGCGATGATGGTGATAGCGATGCTGGTGACGATGGTGACGGCGACGACGGCAACGCCAGTGACGACGCCGATGCTGATCACGCTTCCGACGATGACGGCGTCCTCGCGTCGGCGATGGAAGTTTTGGAGGGAATTCGACCTGCGCGCGCGGCCGGCGCGCGAGAGTAATCCGCATAGTACGATTTGACGCTGGTCGTGACCCCCCTAACACGCGCGCCAGGGCGTTCGAGTGATTTCGATGTGCGGCGCGATGTGCCCGTTTGGTAGTAGTGAGTGAGCACATAACATAAACAAACTTGTGTCCTAAAGAATCCATCCGCGGGAACGCGAACGCAGGAATGTTTCAACCCTGATGTTGCAAAGTCATGTGCCGTTACAGGTTTTCGGGGCACCCGATGTTGAACTCCATACGACACGTGCGGTGTTTGATGGATGTCGTCATGCACGAGCGACGACGCGCGCGCGAACTTCGTTCCATTTTGCAAAGGATTATTGCGACAACGCGCGCACAATAAAACACGTTCGAGCGATTCCAACTTGCGCGCGCGAGAGGCGAGTGAGGTAGCGAGTTGTTATAAGCATTGAATCCCAAATCAATGTTTCAGCCAAACAATCACAAGAACACGAACGCAATTTTTTTAGGTGTGAACCTTCTTGTTGCGGAACCAAATGGTGTTTATAGGTTTTCGGGGCACTCGATTTTGAAATCCCGGTTTTTGACAAATTTCGGCATGCGCGCGCGACGACGCGCGGAACTTCACCCCATTTGTTGCAAGGGGTTCTTGAAAACAGAGGAATTGTGATGAGCGCGTGCGCGCGTAATGATTTTTGCCGAAAATAAAGGGAGGCATGTCGTCCTGCCTGGGACGGTGCGAATTCATATTTCGGATGGGCGATGGGGCAGAACCGTGCGCACACTGCAATACGGAAAGGGGGGGCATTAATTCAGGAAGGGCAAATCCCGATATTTTCTACAGAAGACAATTCACCAATGCTCGCAGTGAGCTGTCAACTTCGCTGCTCGCGCAATCATCTGACCCACCCACAAGCAACTTGGTTTGCAAAACCCATGCGACGGCGATTGCGATGAGTGCTTGGCGTTGGCCGGTGCATCTCTGTGGCCGCGCTGGCCCGCGCATGCTCGCGCGCGCAGCGGACGACGCGCGCGTGCGCACTTCGTCCCGTTTGTTGCAAGGGATTCTGGGAGACGGATGATTGTTGATAAACGAGCGCGCGCACATAGCATTTTCTGCGGAGCATGATGAGAGGGGCGGGGCGAGATCCGGCCTGGCTGGGATGGTACGAACTTACATTTAGGATGGACATGGGTGGACGGGGGGCGGAATCATGTGCAGATTGCCATACGAAGCGGTGGCCCCTGAACCCCGGGGGGGGGCGTAGACACCAAAAGTCTTCTTTACGGGGGATCTGCGCGGTGCAGTCCAGCGGCGGCGACGAGCGGCGACGCAGCGGCGACGGGGCGGCGACGGGGCGGCGACGGGGCGGCAGTGGGGTGGCACGGAGCCGCCAGACCGCCCGCATGGCCCAGGCGACGGCCGGCAACGAGGCGGCGACGGGGCGGCGACGGCCCGCACGGAGCCGCTGGGACCGTCCACGCGGGCCAATTTCTCAGGGCAAAGGAAGAACCCTTGAGGTACAAACGCTGCTTGGGGAATATACACACTGAAAATGCTGAAAATGAGAGAGAGAGAGAACAAAAAGAGAGAGAGAGAGAGAGAGAGCGAGAGAGTGAGAGAGTGAGAGGGAGAGAGAAAAAGGGAGAGAGAGAGAGAGACCAGTGAGAGGGAGAGAGGGTGAGAGGGTGAGAGAAGGAGAAATAAGAAGACCAAGCAGAAACAAAAACGAGAGATAGACTGAGAGAGAGAGAGAGACAACAACAAAAAATAGGAAGAGTCCTGCCGCGCCCTGCCCGCAGGCGGTGCTGTTCGTGCACGCCTTCTATTCAATGCAAGTGCAACTGCTTACCGAAGTCTTAAGGAAACCTGTCTCCTGACCCTATTGGCCCATGATGACGATGATGATGATGATGATGATGATGAGGAGGAGGAGGAGGAGGAGGAGGAGGAGAAGCGAGGAGGGGGAGCAGGATACCAGCAGTACAGCAAGCTCCTTGCGCGAATATTTTACAACCTACGTGGTGCAATCCAACGGCGGCGACGGCGATGACACAGCCGCCAGACCGCCCAACCGGCCCACTCTCATAGAGCAGAATTAAGAACCACCCATTGCAATACGGATAAATGTGTACATACATATCAATATAAGTATTACAAAGGTATGCGGAGATACCAGAATGGACCCTGCCCGGCGCGACCAACATGTTGGGAAAGCTTTGTGTTGCATGGGCGCACTGCTTGGCGTTACCGGGCATCGCTTGGCGTCGCCTGACGTTGCTTGGCGTTGCTTGGCATTGCTCGGCATTGCCTGGCGTTTGCTTGGCATTGCTTGGCGTTACTTGGAGTAGGCCCAAGGAATCTCGAGGAACGCCACTGTAAGGGAACAAGACCTAGGAACCGCCGCTTTCACAGGCGTGCTGAGCACCATCCCCGCAAACAACACTCGAAACACAACTGAAGGTGCCGTAGTGGCGGAAGCCCAGCACACCTCGAGCACAAATGGCTACGACGGGAAGGGGATGGCGAACGCGGGGGGGGGCCTTGGTGGGGAGGGGCGTCTTTGGATCTGCTGGAGGCCTTCTGAAGCAGCATTGGGCGTGCGCCACGGGGTAGTCATCTGGGCCGTGGGGAACGTAGGGGGCGTAGGGTACCGAAGGGTGCCTCAAGGGGGGCCGTAAGCGAGCGTAAGCCAGCGTAGGGCAGCGCAGGGGAGCTCAAGGGGGACCGTAGGGGAGCGCAGGGGGACGTAAGAGACCGCATGAGGAACATAGGGGAGCGTAGGAGGGCGTAGGGGGGCGTAGGGGGACGCAGGTGAGCGTAGGGGACTGCAAGGGAGCGCAGGGGAGCGTAGGGGACCGTAGGGGAGCGTGGGGACGTCGAACCCCTACGGCCTTGCCCCTTCCCCAAGGGCCTCGAAAGTCTGACCCCTCGCCGCCCGACCAAGACCCTCCATGAACTCTTAACCCCCCGAGCATCGTCAACGTCCCACTTACTTGTTACCCCCCTACGCCCCTCGCTCCTAACTCGTAACCGGTTTCTCTCATCAGCCCATCGTCTGTCATGCCACGGTCCGCCTCCGCCTCCTCGTCATCGTCCTTTCTCCCAATCCTCCCCCGTTCCCTGGCTCCCGCTTCCTCCACCTCATCGCTGTTTGAAAAAATGTCGGCCAGATTGGCTATACCCAAAAATCGTTCGCCGATGCGGCCCTCTGACACATGCTAGAGCATCTGGCGAGCTCCTGGGAGTTCTTGGAGCTCGTCCAGTAGCCTCCCGGGGACTTGCGGTGGGTCCTGTAGCCCCCTGGATCGATTCCCGAGGATGGGCAAATGGCTCCAGGGCTTTCGGGGGCGTCTGGGGGCTCCAAATAAGGCTTGCACGCAAGTGGACCTGCGGAGCGTTACCCATCGGTCGGAAGATGTATATAGAACCATTAAGTAGGAAGGCGTTGAACGTAGATTGGGTGTTCGCCCGCCACCGAAAGAGGACGGAAACGGTGAAGCCACTCGATCACTGAGGAGGGAAGGCGCAGAAAAAGTAGATTGGGATCTGGGGCTCCAAACATGCCTGCTTTCAACGGCCGGTGTGTACTACACCCTGCGACATGCTTAAGAAATCATGGGTTAAGAAATCCATAGTCTCAGAACTTGAATAAAAACCCAATATATCCTTCAAAATTTTAGGAGTTACATTGAAACATTAAGAATCATCGAGACTCTGGCCGAAAACTCAAGTTTTCTTAAGCATCGCCTAAGGTGTACTGCGCTGGACCCCCCCCCCCCCCAGGGCCAACAAGTCCCGGAGAGGGAAGCGCTGCTTGTGCTGCGCGCGCCGGACATGGAGGGCGCGCAGCCGGCCTGCCGCACTGGCAGGGCGCGGGCGCGAGCCCGTCCTCGTCGGTTGGCGTGGCTCCCTCGGGCACTCCGCGGAACGCTCCGACCCCATCCGTCGTTCCCTGCCAGACGGCACTGGAAAGCGGCGCTCGCACTGGGAAGAGAGAGAGAGAGAGAGAGAGAAAGAGAGAGAGTCAGCGAGAGAGAGAGAGAGGGAGAACGGGGAGGCAGAACGGGGAGGACGGAGATGCAGGAGGCGGTGGCCTGGACAGTGGGAGGGGAGAGGAGAGAGGGATGGGGAGGGAGACGTGGAAGGAGATGGTGACGACGTGAAGGCCGAAGGACGACGACGAGAACGTCAGCGAGGGCGACGACGACGACGACGAAGCCGACGACGAGGACGTCGACGTCGACGCAACGTCGTCGTCGACAAGGGCGACGACGACGACAAAGACGACGACACCGACGACGACGACGACGACGAGACCGACGACGCGGATAGAGACCTCAAGATGGGGTCGGAGTAGATGGGGTCGGAGGATCGCGCCGCATCGCCGATACATCGGCGAGGTTTCGGCGATGTATTGGCGGTGCTTCGGCGATGCATCGTCGACGCCTGCGATGCATCGGCGACGTCGACGTGAAGCTAATCGAGCTCCACGTCGAGCCGCATCGGCGACGCATCGGCGATGTGGCGCGATCCTCTGGCCCCATCTACTCGGACCCGACCTAGGAGGCCTGGAGTGGAGGCCAGCGAGGGCGACGGCGGCGACGGCGAGGCCGACGACGACGTGAAGGCCGACGACGACGACGACGACGACGACGACGACGACGAGGCCAATGACGACGACGACGACGTCGAGGACGACGACGACGAGGACGAGGACGACGGCGACGGCGACGACGAGGCCGACGACGAGGAGGTCAGCGAGGGCGACGGCGGCGACGCCGAGGGCGACGGGGACGAGCTCGCGCCGCCGAGGGCCGGGCAGCTGCCACAGCGTCTCGAACTCCGGCGCCTGTGCGTGGGGGCGTCGCGCGCCACGGTGGGGGGGGCGGCCCGCCACGCGGGGGGATCTGGGGACCGCGGACAGTCCAGGCCTGGGTCTTGCGAGGATCCTGCAGGGGGGGGGGTAGGGGAGGGGAGAGGAGGGCAGGGGAGAGGGGGAGGAGGGGAGGGGGAGGGGAGGGGCAGGGGAGGGGAAGGGGAGGGGAGGGGAGGGGAGAGGAGGGCAGGGGAGGGGAAGGGGGAGGGAGAGGGGGAGGATCCTGCAAGATCCGTCTCTCTGACCGACCCCCGTTTGCTTCGACCCCCGGGGAGGGGAGGGATCCTGCAAGATCCGTCTCTCTGACCGACCCCCGCCTCTCGAGGCCCGGCGGTGTTGGCGCGCCTCTGGCCCGCTCGGCGGAGGATGGAAGATGCTGCTTTCGAGAGTCCGTTCGCCCTCGGGGACTCTTGTGGCCTCCTAGATGGGGTAGGAGTAGATGGGGTCGGAGGATCGCGCCGCGTCGCCGATACATCGGCGACACATCGCCGATGCATCGGCGACGCCGGGACATGTCTTCAACAGTCCGTTGGCCCTCGGAGACTACCACTACCTCCGATGTAGCCCAGAGGCCCGATGCCGTCCTTTTTGCTTTGAGCTCGTGGTCCCCAGCATGAAGGGGCCTTGGGACACACACACACACACACACACACACACACACACACACACACACACACACACACACACACACACACACACACACACACACACACACACACACACCACACACCACACACCACACACCACACACCACACACACACACACACCAATAAATACACCAAAAAGGTCCCCCAAATTTTCCCATATGTTATGGGATTCCTGTCTTCCCCCCACTGCCTATACTTTCCCATATTTTCTGGGGGATCGACGATTGATTGTGTCTGTGTTTTTTCTCCTCCTGACCAAGGCCAGCTCGTTATCCTGAGCTGTTCTTTCACGGCCCCCGGGGCCCTGCGAGGGCCGCGGGCGGCCGGAGGGGGCCACAAAAACCTGCGCCCTGTCCTGCTCAAAGCTCCGGGAGCCTCGCGTGCTCAGCGCGTTTTCAGCAGGGACCAACCATCCCGGCTTTCCTACAGGCCTACCGCGCAGTCTTCTTGGAACCCCCAGAGATGTTCTCAGAACCAAGAGCAAGGTTCTTAGAACAGAGGCCCGATGGTGCTAAAACAAGACCAGTCCCAGCCAGAAGTGTTCCACGAGCGCGTCGTGGAAACCACAAAAAAAGGTTCTCCAGATTTCGTAATAAAGGGAGGGGGGTCTCATTTCGGGGGGGGGTCTTTTCCAAGCTATCTTGGAGGGCCTGGGGGGGTCTGGGGACGATGTTTTGGAGGGTTCTCCCAGGGGGGGGGTCTAAAACTTCTCGTCTGGGAGGGTTGAGACCCCCTCCCTTTTATTACGAAATCTGGAGTTCTCATACTGTTGCTTGCCAGGCCCATGGGCACGCCAGGACGCTTCGCCCCTGCTGGAGCGTTGGGGCAGCTGCCGCCAGCGCCTCGAGCTAGCTCCGGAGCCGGCGCACGGGGCAGCGCGGCGCGGCGTGGGGCCCCAAGGGGGGAGGAGGAGGAGGAGGAGGAGGAGGAGGAGGAGGAGGAGGAAGAGAGGAGGGAGGAGGAGGAGGAGGAGGAGGAGGAGGAGGAGGAGGAGGAGGAGGAGGAGGAGGAGGAGGAGGAGAGGAGGAGGAGGAGGAGGAGGAGGAGGAGGAGGAGGAGGAGGAGGGGGGCCGGCGCCCCTCCGGTCCGCCCGGCGGGCCCTCCCGCCGCAGCAGACGGCAAAACAGTTTCTTGATCCGCGGGTCGGGAGCGCACCTCTCCCGGCCGAAGCTCGGCGGGCCGCGCACAGCTTTGATTAACAGAGGGGGGGGAAGGCAGACCACCCCAACCCAACCCGAAAACCCGAATTTCGGGTTGGGGGGGGTAAGGGTTCCACACGTGTTTTTTTCGATGTTTCCCGACACCCCCCCCACTGGAAATCGAGGGTAAATCTGAGCCTTCGGGTTGGGTTGAGGTGGTTTGGTGGGTTGTGAAAGGGGCCTCACGTCAAGGCCAGGAGGGGGCAAAGCCCCGGAATCAGGCGGTGCATACGTCAGCCGTCCAGACGGCAGAGCAGCCACCCCCAGAAGGATCATCCCGACGGGCGAGGCTGATCGGCAAACGCACCCGAGGAGGGAATCGAGCAGGGCAGGGCTGTTCCGTAGACGCCCCGGGCCGTTCCGCAAGCGTCAGTTGTCGGGCCCGGGTGGCTGTTCCTCCCCTGACTCAGGGCGCTGGCTGTCTGGAGAGATACAAAATTGAGTCAATGCTTGGTGCGACTGGGCGTCGCCTCATGGGTGGGGTGGCGATCGTTGCAGGCTGCATGCAGGAGCGGGCCCTGGGCACTATAGTCGTAAGAGCGCCCTTCGGTTCGCGGCTTCTCGGGGGGGGGGGCCCGCAGGGGGCCCTACACACAAACGCGCAAGACGCTACAGCGGAGGCCAGTCCACAAGAAACCTTCCACGAAAAACCCAACCCTGAGACCCCAGGGCGCCCATGGGTTTTTGGTGTTGGAGCGTCACGCTCTCTTTCGCAAAACCATCGAAATCCCCCCCCAAAAAAAAACAAAAATACCCTGCGACGTACCCAACCCACGTGCATCAAATGGCAAGAGGAGTATGCCAACATTAGCAGGAACAACGACAATGCAGACGCGGCGATTTGCTGTGCAAGCTACATGGGATGCGCATGCGCTGCACGATTCACAGGACGACGATCGAAAGGACGAGGCTTGAGGCCCCAGGATCGAAGAAGAACGGGTGCGGGAACGAGGGGTAGGAGAGGGATGGAATGGAGGGCGGGGGGGGCGAAAGGCCATCGCGGAAGCAGCAGCACGCATGGAGAAGGTGAGGCGGGGAATAGGACGACGATGAAAGTGGCGGGAGGAGACAGAAGACTGCCGCGTTTTTCAAGTGCGAGCTAAACCCGCAGCGCTGCCTGCGCCATGTCGTCGCAGAGTTCCACATGATAAAACTTGTTTAGAGTGTAAGGAACGAGCGAGGCGTAGCTCGCCCGCTAGCTTCTCCGCCTCCTTCCCGCACATTTCAGCGCGGGAGCTGAACGCTCGCAGGCGCGCCGCCAGGTCTGCGGGCGGCCCGCGGACGTTCGTCGGTCGGTTGTCCATCGGGGTCGCGTATCATCAGTCGGTTGTCCATCGTCCAAAGTTGCACTGGCGACGTACTGGTTGAACGCGGAGCGAGCAGCATCACGCGCGTGCCTGAACGCCACGCAGGTACAGTGCACGCGCGATTGGGACTTCAGGTCGATCGCGCGCGTCTCCACCAGGCTTGGCAACACCGCGCGACTGAGGATCTCACTGCGGTCTGCCATGCTGCTGTCCGCGAATGCAATGCGCTGCCTGCAAGTAAGGCGGCGGCGTCCACTTGTCTCAGAAGATGTTCCCGCGGGCCCGAAGGGCGACCGCCAGCTCGAGCCGCGGCGCCGGCAGGCCAGATAAGGATCATGCAACAGCAAAGACGATGACAGAGCAACGAAGTATCGGCGAGTGCATGACCGGCCTCCGTTTCCTGCACTTCTTTCCTGTAGGTCCCCTAGCTCATCGAGCTCAGCAGATGTTTCTGCGGGTCCGAAGGACGACCGCCAGCTCGAGTCGCAGCGCCACGTGGCACGAACCGCAGAGCAAGGGCACGCGAGCATTGCTCGTGGTCAGAATCTGAGTCCCCGTGGTGCCTCACTCCGCTGGCCACCCACCAGCAGCCCTCGAAAGTGGCGACAGTTTCACAGATCGCAGCCGCCCAGGGGTGGCGAGGTCTAATCTGAGTCCCCGTGGTGCCTCACTCCGCTGGACCCACCGCAGCCTCGAAAGTGGCGACAGTTTCACACAGGGATGGCGAGGTCTAATCTGAGTCCCCGTGGTGCCTCACTCCGCTGGACCCACCAGCAACCCTCGAAAGTGGCGACAGTTTCACAGATCGCAGCCCCCCAGAGATGGCGAGGTCTAATATGAGTCCCCGTGGTGCCTCACTCCGCTGGACCCACTAGCAGCCCTCGAAAGTGGCGACAGTTTCACAGATCGCTGCCCCCCCCCCCAGGGATGGCGAGGTCTAATCTGAGTCCCCGTGGTGCCTCACTCCGCTGGACCCACCAGCAGCCCTCGAAAGTGGTGACAGTTCCGCAGATCGCAGCCCGCCAGGGATGACGTGAAAGGCAAGAGAAGAGAAGAGGAGGAGCGAAGAGAGGAGGAGGAGAAGGCAAGCAAGAGAGGAGAGGAGGAGGGAAGAGAGGGGGGGGGCGGGAGGAGGAGAACGGAGACCGCAGTGCTCTATTCAAAACGAGTACCCAACGCAGGAGGGTTGGGAAAAAACAGGGCACCCTGGAGGCAAGCAGGATGCTTCTTGACATGGGTCTCCACTGTACTATCGCGTCGCGTTCCGCGATCGGAGGACCCCAGTGGGCCCGCACCAAAGGTCACTCCAGCGAAGGGTCACTCTTACGTGTAGTCGAAGTTCGTGGTGCCAGGGGCGTCTCGCGCTCCCGGCGGAGCGCTCCTCAGCCAAATGTCTGCGACGGTTTGCGTGCATCGGAATTCTTGCCTCCAGTGAGCTCAGTGCCGCGGTCCCTCTGGTCCACCTGGCGGGCCCTCCCACCTCAGGGCGAGGGGTGGCTGGGATAAGGCTGTGCGGAACCATGCGGAATCGACAAGGCAGCGGAAACAGCAGGGGGGCAGGAAGAGGGAGGGGGGGGAGATCGGTGGAGGGGGAGGGGAACGAGGGGGGTGGAAAGCAGAAGGAACAGGGGCAGCAGGTAGAGGAGCAGTTTGAAGTGGGCTGACGAGAAGGATCAGACAGGGGAAGGAGGAGGAAGAGGGGAGGCGCACTGCAGGATACGAGTGGTAGGAAGAAGTTGAGCGGCCGAGGTTAAGGAGGCAGGGTGGAGCCGGATGGAGGAGAAGGAGGAGCAGCAGCAGACGCAGGAGGTTAAGAATGAGGAGAAAAGGCAGACAAGGGAGAGAGGATCCGCTCGGGAAAAAATGAAAACATGGTGAGAATGGCCAGGACGGGGTGCATCTCCTTTACCGCTCCCCCCCCACACCTCCTCCTCCTCCAGAATCCTCCGAAAACCGGTCGAAAATCAAGTGTGTGTAAGCATGCATGGTTCCGAGAGATCCGATGTCGTGACGGGAAGTCCCGATCTGGAAGTCCCGATCCGGAAATTCCCGATCAACGGGGTCCCCGGAAATCCCGACCCTTTCCCCAGGGCCGGTTTTTTGTCCTGAATCGTTTTTTGACGGTCCAGGGGCTTAGCGAGGGCCTCGCGGGGCCGAAGAGGGTGAAAAACCTCCGTCTTGATTTGTTCACTACGTGGGATCTCTGGGCTGGAAACAGAAGATTCCTAGATGGGGTCCGAGTAGATGTAGACGGAGGATCGCGCCGCATCGGCGATACATCGGCGATACATCGCCGATGCATCGGCGATATCGCCGATGCCTTGGCGATGCATTGGCGACGTCCGCGATGGATCGGCGACGTCGACGTCAAGCAAATTGGGCTCCACATTGAGCCGCATCGCCGATGCATCGACGATGCGGCGCGATCCTCCGACCCCATCTGATCGGGATCCAGCTAGGAGGCCTAGAGGGAATCTCCGAGACCAGATTGCAGCCCGTCGACAATCGCCGCGAGCACCTCCGGAGGCGGCGAGCGGAAGCGTCGGCGGGGCCTGGTAGGGTGAGAACGCCACCGTGCCGAGGCAGTAGTGCAGGTCGCCGGGGTGCGAGAATTCGCGGCAGTGCTGCGTCCTGCTGTCCTCTGGGCGCGGGCGAAGACCAGGAGGAGGAAGGGGAGGGCTAGAACGAGGAAGGCGGATGCGAGGAGGGAGATGAGGGGAAACGAAGGATGATGAGAAGGGGGAATGAGAGAGGGAGCGAGGGAGGGAGAGCGAGGGAGAGACATAGAGAAACAACAAGAGAGATCGAGAGACAGATAGAGGGTGAGGAAGAGAAAGAGAAAGAGAGGGAGATAGAGAAAGGGACAGAGAGGGAGAGATACAGAGAAAGAGAGAGAGAGAGAGAGGAGAAACTGTGAATATAGGAAGCATGAAAAGGATGAGAGGAGGAGGAGGAGGAGGAGGAGGAATATGAGTTCTGCTGATACTGCGACAAAAAGAAGGTGAGGAGGAGGAGGAGGAGGAATAAGAAGCCGAAGACGAGGACAAGGAAGACGATAATTAGGTGAATTACGGGGAAAGCGGAGAGAAACATAGATATGAAGCCGCCGAAGGTTGAGAGTAGGAGGAAAAGCAAGAAGAGGGTAGCAGGAACAAGAGGACTCGAGGGAGAGGACGAGGACGACGAGGATGAGAAATGTTGACCCCCCCTGGGTTTTCATACACCTCGTTCGGAGTCCGTGCGGTTCCAAGGACGATGTCCCGCAGGGCTACGAGGCAAAGGCCGCCATGCATCCTCCCCTAGCCCTGCACCTCCGCCCCTCTCCCTCCTCCTCCTCCTCCTCCTCCTCCTCCTCCTTCCTTCCTTCCTTCACTCCCTCCTCCTCCTCCTCCCTCCTCCTCCTCCTCCCTCCTCCTCCTCCTCCCCCCCCCCCCCCTTCCCCTCCCCCTCCCCCTCCCCCCCTCCTCCCCCTCCCCTATCCTCCTCCTTCCTCCTCCTCCTCCTCCTCCTCGTCCTCCTCCTCCTCCTCCTTCCCCTCCTCCCTTCCCCCTGCTGCTCCTGCTTGTGATCCTTGTTCTCCTGCTCCTCGCCACGGTCGGAGAAACGGCGACGGCGGCGCCGCCCGAGGGTCCCAGCAGCGGGCGCCGTTCTTGCACGCCCGCCTGCAGCGGGAGCAGGCGGATGGGTGCGTGAACTGCAGGCGGTGGCCCGCCTGGCGCGTGGAGGGGGGCGATGGCGAAGGAGGGGGGAGCACGTGAATGTCCTCCTCCTCCTCCTCCTCGTCCTCCTCCTCCTCCTCCTTCTCCTCCTCCTCCTCCCCCTCCTCTTCATCATCCTTCTCCTCCTCTTGACCGTCTTCCTCCTCCTCCTCCACCTCCTACCCCTCCTCTTCCACCTCCTCTCCCTCCTCATCCGTCCTCCTTCCCCATCTCCCTCATCATTCCTTTCCACCCTACCTTACGTCCTGCATCCTCATCCTCCTCCCCGCCTCCTCCGGCTTCTCCCCGTCGCCTTCAGAACACTCGGGCACCTCTTCCTCTCCCCCGATGGGTGCGAGGGGGAGGGGGAGGGATGAAAGGGCCAGATCATTTGCAAGGGCCTGGGCGGGTTTAGCCTTTGCGGCACAATCATCGTTCACCCTGTATGTGGCCAATAAACGGAGAAGCGCCAGCTGGAACATGATACAAGGGACTGAGACGAGGCTGGCGACTACGACTCCTCGCGAACCATTTCCTCTTGCTCCCCGCTTGTCCCCCTCTTCCCTCTCTCCCCATCACCCCTCCTCCCGCCCCTCGTGTTTGTTGGGTTTTCTTGTCCCCGAGCCCATCTCAGCATGCTGGCGGCTGTTAGCTTCATGCTATTCGGCTGTGGTCACCAGTGCCTGGAAGGCCTCGTCGAGCGCAGTAGCTCCTGCAGTGAACGACGAAACTGACTGCTGCAAGAACGTGCCAGGCACAGCTGTAGGACATAGGATGCCGTCCGCGGGGCAAGTTACTGCGCCCTCTGAGTTCCGAGCGACTGCCCATCCAGCGCCTCTTCCCTCCCCCTCCTCCTCCCCCTCCTCCTCCTCCTCCTCCTCCTCCTCTTCCTCCTCCTCCTGCGATGCCTCATGCGAGCAAGAAAAGCGCGGGCGTCTGGTCGAAACCCTCGCTGCCCTCACCGTCAACCATCCCCCAGACTCCCCTGCTCCTCCTCCACTCCTTTTCCTCCGCATCCCCCTCCTCCACCCCCTTTCCTCCTCCTCCTCCTCCTCCTGCTGCTGCTATTCCTCCTTCTCCTCCTCCTCCTCCTCCTCCTCCTCCTCCTCCTCCTCCTCTGGTTCATCTGGTTCCTAAAACAGGGGCAGACTGCTCCGCAATCTAACCTCTTCCCTGACAAGGGATCCTCCTCCTCCTCCCCTCGTCCTGTCGCTGTCGCTGTCGGCCTCGGAATTCGAATCCCGTCCTCCTCCTCCACATCATCCCCCTCCTCCTTTCCTTCCCCCAACCCACCTCCCCCCACCCCTCCCACTCCCCCTCCCACTCCCACTCCCCTCCCGCCTCCTCCCCTCCGCTCCTCCTCCTCCCTGTTCCTGCTCCTGTTTCCTGATCCTGTTCCTATTCCGTTTCCCTCCTCCCCCTCTCCCTCATCCCTCCTCCTCCTCCTCCTCCTCCTCCTCCCTTCTCCTCCTCCTCCTCCTCCTCCTCTTTCTCCTCTTCCTCCTCTTTCTCCTCTTTCTCCTCCTCTCCTCCCTCCTCCTCCCTCCTCCTCCTCCTCTCCTCCTCCTCCTCCTCCTCCTCTTTCCTGATCCTCCTCCTCCTCCTCCTCCTCCTCCTCTCCTGCTCCTCCTGCTCCTCCTGCTCCTGCTCCTGTCTGCTCCTGCTCCTGCTCCTGCCCTGCTCCTGCTCCTGCTCCTCCTCCTCCTCCTCCAAAATTACTCCATATGAATACTACTCTTCTTCTCCTTGCCCTGATGACGGATTGGGGAATGTTCGCCCCCCCCCACGTATTGTTTTTTTACACACGGGATTCCCCGGAAATGTGTTTTCGCCTGCACTTTTTGTTCAAAATGCTGCTCTCGCTGAGGCGCCGGCCTCATTTTCGGGCCCCGCTCGTTCCGAATCGTACTCTCGCTGCAGCGCTGGCCTCATTTCCCTGCTTCCGCTCGTTCCGAATCGTGCTCCCGCTGCAGCGCTGGCCTCATTTCCGCGCTTCCGCTCGTTCCGAATCGTGCTCCCGCTGCAGCGCCCGTGCCATGCCACGGCATGCAATGCAAGGTTGCGTTCCGCTGCGCGATGCCATACCTTCAGCTGAAGCTGTGATATGCAGTGCTGAAGTGCCACGTCGTGCTATGCCATGCTACGCTTTGATATTCAACGCCATGCTATGCAATGTCATGTTCGGGGCCGCTGTGCGATGCCATGCTTTGCGTTGCAAAACTTTGTGATGCAGTTCTTCACTACGCGACGCCACGCCATGCTGTGACATACTACTCTTTGCGGTGCTCTTCTACGCCATGCCATGCCGTGCTCTACAATGCATCGCGTACCCTTTCGGGATCATTGCCCTGCTCGACATCCGACTGTGCGAGTAGAGAGGGGATCTACGCCATGGTAAGGGATGGGAGGGAGGGGTAGGATGTCAGATATGACGCGAGCGCACTGCTTGTCGCCCTTCCCCTTCCCCCTCCCCCCTCCCCCTCGCTCCCTCCCTCCCCCCCTCCTCCGCCCCCTCCTCCTCCTCCTTCCCTCCTCCTCCTCCGCCTCCTCCTCCTCCTCCTCCCCCTCTCCTCCTCTCCTCCCCGCCTCCTCCCTCCTCCTCCTCCTCCTCCTCCTCCTCCTCCTCCTCCTCCTCCTCCTCCTCCCTCCTCCCCGCCTCCTCCTCCTCCTCACTCCTCTCCCCCTCCTCCTCCTCCTCCTCCTCACCTCCTCCTCCTCCTCCTCCTCCTCCTCCTCCTCCTCCTCCTCCTCCCTCCCCTCCTCCTCCTCCTCCTCCTCCTCCTCCTCCACCCCCCCACTGCAGGCCGTCGCCGGCGTCCTCCCCCAAGTCCAGAGGGCACTCGGCGGCCCCCGGCCTCGCCTTCGCGCGGCGTGCTCATCGGCGGCGACGAGAAGGGCGAGTAGCCCAGGGGCGGGCATTACACGCACTCGCCTTTGAGCCTTGTCGATAAAACAGGGCTAGGATCGGGATAAATCGCTCCAGAGCGTTCCGGAGCGCTCTCAGAGCGTTCCGGAACGCTCTGGAGCGGCCGCGGCGCCCAATACATCCTCCAAACCCGCCGATTCTCAGAGATTTCGAGTTATCCCGATCCGATTTCGTCCCGATCTTCGCGTCGCTTGAGTCGGAGACACAGCTCATCGGCGCCCCTGGATACTGGATGCATGCATTGCTCTCCCCATGGGCTGTTCGCCCCCATCGTCGCCTCTGATGCTCTGGCCGGCCCCCACCAGTCCGAGGGGGGCTGCCCGGCACGGCCCGACGAAGGTCCGACCGCATGCATGGCGCTGCTGCCTCGGGGGCACGCCGAGCCCTCAGAGCTGGGCGCCACCGGGCGTCCGCGCCCTCTCTGGGGCCCCGGGGCCACCACAGATCGATCCGGCTCGAACAAGACGGCGGAAAGATGGGGTCCAGGATCTGAAGCCTCAGTCGTGGATGTTCGCGATGATATAGTTCCCGACCGTCCTGCGGTGATGGGTCCTCGTGTTGAGAGGACAGCGCCCCGCGTCACTCCTTCCACTCTACTCATTCCTCCCCCCTCCTCCTCCTCCCCTCCGCCTCCTCATCCTCTCCTCATCCTCATCATCATCCTCATCCTCATCCTCATCCTCATCCTCATCATCCTCATCCTCATCCTCATCTCATCATCATCATCATCATCATCATCATCATCATCATCATCATCATCATCATCATCATCTCACATCATCATCATCATCATCATCATCATCATCATCAATCATCAATCATCATCATCATCATCATCATCATCATCATCATCATCATCATCATCATCATCATCATCATCACCACCATCATCATCATCGTCATCGTCATCGTCATCGTCACCATCATCATCATCGTCATCATCATCATCATCATCATCATCATCATCATCATCATCACCATCACCATCACCATCAGCATCATCATCCGGCACAGCCCTCACACGTTTCGTGGCCCCATAGGGAGCTCCACCCAAGGTTCCAGTGGCAGCGTCCGCATGGCGTGCCCGCGCCCGATTCGGCACACCCCATTACGTGCTTCGTTACCCCACAAGTAGCTCCACCGAAGGCCCCAGAGGCAGCGTCCGCGTGGCGTAGCCGCGCAGAATTCGGGACACCCCTCACACGTTTCGTGGCCCCATTGGGGAATACCATCAAGAGTCCCAGCGGCCGCGTGCATGGCTCACCCGCACAAAATTGGCACACGCTCGCACGTCTCGCGGCCCCACAGGGAGCCCCACCGAAGGCCCCAGCGGTAGCGTCCGCATGGCGCCCCCGCCCCCAATTCGGAACACCCCTATAACGCTTCGTGGCCCCATAGGGAGCTCCATCAAAGGCCCCAGCGGCACTTGCCTGGCACACCCGCGCCCAATTCGGCAAACCCCGCACACGCTTCGTGGCCCCATAGGGAGCTCCACCGAAGGCCCCAGCGGCAGCGTTTGCATGGCTCACCCGCGCCCAATTCGGCACACCCCGCACACGGTTCGTGGCCCCATCGGGAGCTCCAGCGAAGACCCCAACGGCAGCGTCCGCACGGCGTACCCCAAGCCAATTCGGCACACCCCGCACACGCTTCGGGGCCCCATAAGGGGGCTCCACCGAAGGCTTTAGGAATAGCGTCCGCATGGCGCACACGCGCTCGAATGGGCACACCCCTCACACGCATCTTGGCCCCATAGGCAGCTTCACCGGAGGCCCCAGCGGCAGTGTCCGCATGGCACACCCGCACACAATTCGGCACACCCCTCAAGCGCTTCGTGGCCCCACCCACAGGGAACTCCCCCGAAGGCCCCGGCGGCAACGGCCGCATGGCGTGCCCGCCCGCAACTGGGCACAATCACACACATACACACACATACACACAAACACACACACACACACAAACGCAAACACACATATCTATCTATATATCTATATATCTATGTATCGATGTATATCTATATATATATATATATATATCTATATATCGATCTCTATATATATATATATATATCTATCTATATATCTATCTATCTGTCTATATATATATATATATGTCTATCTATCTATCTATCTATCTATCTATATATACATCTATATATTTATATCTACCTATATCTATATATATCTATATATCGATGTGTAAATATATATATATATATATATGTGTGTTTCTCACACATGCCGTGGCCCCATGAGGAGCTTCACCGAAGGCCCCAGCGGCAGCGCCTGCATGGCGTACCCGCGCCCGATTCGGCACACCCTTCACATGCTTCCTGGCACCAGGGAAAGCTCTACCGAAAGCCCCAGCGCCAGCGTCCGCAAGGCGTACACACACAGTGCGACACACTCCTGACACGTCTCGTGGCACCACGGGCAGCCCCAGCGGCAGCGTCCGCATGGCGCACCCGCCCCCGACTCGGCACACACCTCACACGGTTCGTGGCCCCGTATGGTGCTCTAATCTGCACGCGAGATTCGTAGACGCATCTGGCTGGGCCCTTCGCAACGGCTCTGTTTGCCCGTAGATGTGCCGAGCGCCTGAGAGCGCACCCGCCGGGGGCGCAGTAGGAGCCCCCGCGCGGGTGCACGAAGTGCGTAAGGGCTGTGCCGAGGCGGGGGCGTGCAGGCGGTGCAGTCGGGCCGCTGAAAGAAGGAACGCTACATAAGGAACGAGGCCCCTTCTTGGCCCTGTACGCGCCTCCGTGCCCCAGGAGGGCAGGAGGAAGAGCACTGGAGGAACCTAAGGAACATCGAGCCCCTTTCGAACCCAAACTGTTCCTTATTTCAGCGTCTTGACTGTAGGATTAAGTTGGGCACGTCCCCCTACAGGGGGATTCTGGGCGAAAAATGAAAAATACAAAAACATACACCCAAGATGCTCAAACATGATCAGACAATAGCCCCCCGATGTTTTTTTTACTATTTTTGGATATTACCCCTGTAGAGGGACAGGCCCGACATAACTGTCGGAACGCCCCCCGCCGGGGCCGCAGTCGGAGCTCCACTGCGGGGCACGGACGGGCGCGGGGGGCGTGCCGAGACGGGCACCGGCAGCACGCGGCAGGCAGCAGGCAGCAGCAGCCGCGGGAAGCGGGGAGGAGGGGGGCGCGTGAAGCAGGCGAGCGGGGCCCAGGGGAGGCAGGGCAGGGAGCCGCGCCCGCTGCAAACGGGCCCCACTTATTGCAAGGGTCGCGACAGAGTCAAGACTGCGCACCTTGCCGTCGCTCGGACGTCCCTTCCCCCGTGCATTTGTCGGTCGTGTGCGTGTTTCTTGTTGCTAGATGGTGTCCAGGGTGCTCCTCGACTGTCCTCGCCGAGGAAAACGCAGCACACGTCCGAGCGATGCCAGGGCACCAGGTGGCCGTGCGCAGGCCGCTTTGCGCCTGTGGGTGACCACGGCGACGATGCTGACGCCGACGCCGACGCCGACGGACGCGGCGGCGACGGCAGCGGCCCGCTGCGCAAGCCCAAACCTCGAAATTGGTGCACGCGGCGCCGAAGCGGCACTCCTGCTCCGGGGGCTCCTGGGGGGTGGGCGGGGGGCGCCCAGAGGCGCGCCGAGGGAGGACGAGGACGAGGACGAGGACGGCGAGGGGGGGGAAAGGATATGCGACAAGGCTTGTTCATGTCCTACTCTTCCGTGCGCCAAACAAGCGCACTCTGTCTACCAAGTGCGTATTCTAAGAGTCTTGTCCGAAAGCCACCTCAGTGCTCCAAGCCTTCTGATGGCCTGAAGTAGTCAAGAACGGTCCCCGAGATCTGGTTTGCGGGGTGCTGGGGTCGAATTCACTTGTGTGTCTCTCTCCCTCGGAAGGGGTAAGATGAAGCAACGTTATGGGTGCCTCGATTTGGCTTCTCATCGTTTATCCCCGCCAAGCTCTGCGCTCTGGCCATTTCCCTGAAGAGAGGCGGCATGAACCGCCTACGATCCCTCAGAACATCCCTTGCTGGGCGAGCCGCTGAAGTCAATCAGCATGTAGGGCCTTCGATGTATCCTGTTCAAGCGAACCCTCAAGCGAACCCTCACTCACGGTCGACGGTATCGGGGAGCAAATCGGTGCTTGTGAGCCTATGCAGGCTTGGGCACATGGCCGCAAGCCTTTTCAAGATTGGGAGAGCTCTGTGCTTCAAGGGGAGGTGTTAAGAACCCTCCCCCCGTGGCTGGAACAAGACCCTACGCAAGAAGGGAGTCATTTGACCCCCAGCGCCACCGCGCATACCATTAGTTTTTGTTGTTTTACCTCGGCGGCCTGGTGCAAGCTATCGTGTCCAAGGCAGTCTGGTGCAAGCTGTCGTGCCCTGGCGGTCTGGTGCAGCAGTTCGCGCCCACACCGGCGATAAAACAGTTAAAGCAGCTTGCACCCACTTCTACCTCAAAAGGCGTATGCTTGAGGTGGTCCAACTGCGCTGGGGAAAGTACTGCGCACCGCGCATACCATGAGTGATGCGGTCAAACATCGCGAGACGTTCTGGGAATCCGACTGGAGACCAACGCCCGAGAACAGCGACAGGCTCGAGCACGCCGTGGCCCAACTCAAAAACCCTGAGCGGCGCAAGGAGGCCTGGAGCTAGAAGCCATCACTGCACTGCACAAGCTGTTCTTGAAGCTTCCTCCTCCTCCTCCTCCTCCTCCTCCTCCTCCGATACGGGATGTGGGGTTGAGTCTTGGTCGCCCCGAGACTTGCTCTGCCTGGCCATGGAAGCTACCGGAGAGTCGGCCACCACATTGAGTGCTATCGAGCGTACTCTTGAGTTTCCCCAGCCGGTGTGTGTATGTGTGTGTGTGTGTGTGGTTGCGCTGCTCCCTAGGAATGAAGCCTCTGAGAGGCCCATCGCTAAATGTCCCACGCTGTATCGGATGTGCACTAAGCTCTTGGGACATGAAATATTGGAGTGGACCGATTCCCATGTGACGTTTTGTGATTGTGCGGTGAAGTACTCTTCGGCCCTAAGAGCTGCAACGAGTAGAAACGTGTTGACACCATCGGCCCCGTCCAACTTACAAAGCTTTCTCTGAACGGACAAATTGTCCCGAAGCTCCTGTACCTCGGACTCCTCATCCACAACTCCACAAACATTCTGGGCGTTGCTAATACCGTGTCTGCAAGGCTGAAATCAAGAATCTCCATGTTGGCGGGATGCTCCCAATCCTTACCGTGGGTGGAATGTGGTATGTAGAACATCTTGGAGCACGCTCACACAAGGATACCTGGGGTCCCTGTCGTTGCGCACGTGGATGACGTGACCCAGAGTGTGCAGGGCACGTGCCAACATAGTTAGAAAAACTGCGGGTACCAACCGACCTGGACGCTTGCCAAACATTTCGAGCCAACGTCTGTACCATCACAATGAAGTCGTGTGCCGTGGCCTCCTCTCGCACCCCAGAGAAACTCCATTAGTAAATTCGTCGGCGGGCCCGTCTTCCTCTAAACTGGTGAACGCGGTGAATGACTTGGGAGTGGGGCTCCGAAAGGAAAGATGATGTGGAAGATGCATCAGAGAGTGTAGGAGGCCACTAGGAGGTCCAATAAATTGCATTTCTTGGCTGGCATGAATAAGAGAAAGAGGAGACTGAGTAAGCCTGCGGTGACCACCGTGGGCAATTGTTCGCATCAAATTCTCAAGGCAATCCGCCCTCCCGGCTCCAGCGTACCCGTGCTCACGCTGCCAAGGCGATGGGACGCTGGGATGCGGGAGCCTGTGCTACCTCGTTCGTTGCTCTAGCAACTGCCCATAATGATACTAGGTGCAAGCTCCGATATGAACAATTGCTTGAACGGAGTAGGTTCTGCGGAAAATAACTCTACATCAAAAAGGATGTTCGGAGCATGTCGAGCCAAATCAAATATAAACTTGAACATACCGGGAGTCAGATGTGGAGCATGGTCCGAAGTCCCATTGGGGATGTGGTTGCTACCTTTCCTTGGGCTCGGAGGTGACCCCTGCAACCCCTATCAAATGGTTATTCTCGGGACGGATATACGAGTTGATCAAGACTTGTTCAATCTAACTTGTGTCAATTGGTGGCGCAGAACGTTGGAACGCAGCCGTGGCAGCGAGCTGTCCAATATTTCTGTGGCAGTGAATTGCAGAGTGGAGTTGGCTTCGCCACTTTCCGCCGCTTAAGGAAGCAGTTGCACAAAGAAAATTATCGAGAAGGGTTGGGTCCCCTCGTGAATCTAGTTACTAGTGACTATGGGACAGAAGCTCGCCTCAATGAAGGAGGCTATCACAGCACTGGTCTTTGTCCCACGTGTGGTGCAACGCTTGAAGATTCGCACCATCGTGTCTGAAAGTTCTGGTGCAATGCTGGCGTTGAAGATCCCATCACCGCGAATATTAACCATATGCGTGATGACGCTAAAGAAGCACATCAAGAGTCTGACTGCGTTTGGGTTAAAGGTCTGGTTCCCCTGCGATGGGCAATGGACGTGATCCCCGCTGTGGAGGAGTGAGTCTGAGCTTGGGGTACCTTCTTCGGAGCTCTTGAACCTCGACAACCTATCTCTGGGGGATTTCTTTGGACTGACGTTTCTGGATGTAAGAACACTAACGATCGGAGGACCCGTATTTGTGGATGGGCGGGCTACTGTGCATCTCAAATCTGCATCCCTTCAGGCCGCTGGAGTGCTCCGTGGTACTCTGCATGGGCCCCATCAAAATTCCTTAGGGCCGAAATTAATGCAATAGTCCAGCTCCTGAAGTCTACTGCCGGAGGCACCTCTTTCTGCTGAGACTTCAAGCCCATTCCTTTCGCATTTGGTCGTCGTGGCGCTGCAGTTGATGAATTATATATGTTTGATATGTGGCAGATGGTTTGGGAGCAGCTCGAACTTACCCCCCGGTGTGTGCAGAGCATCTGGATCAAGTCACGCCCGACACAAAAAGACAGCTAACAGAGCCCCGACCAGATGCGAGCTGTCTTGTGGCCAATGCCTTGGCTCACGTTTTTGCTGGGGAGGCTACTCGCAAGCGGGGCCCTGCCTGAATCCGTTGTACAAGAAATCGAAGCAATCGATTTGACTGGTTTGCAGATTCTGACAAACTTTCGACAGACCGCGCGGATTTTTTCGGATGGGCGCCGACCCCCCTCCCTGGCGCGCGGAGCTGGCCAAGGGTGGCGCCTGACGCTCCGCCAGACGGGCCCAGCGCTGATCCGAGAAAACCGCGCAAAACTCCGGAAAGTTATGTCTATTCACGGGGAGGGGACGGGGGCAGAGCGCTCGCCACTCAACCGCCATCGGCCCAAACAAGCGTCGCCATGGCGGCGGGCATGCGCTTGAGACGACAGGGCAACGGAACGCGTTCAGACTGGCCCTCCGCCGGACGGCCTCCCAGGGCAAGCGATACAGTCGTCGTGCTACCACGTAGCGGGGCAGTAAGGCACATCATAAACATAGGTTGTCGGAGGTCCGCACGGGTTCCTTGGATGTGCCCTGGACCGCCCTCCCTGGCGCTCCGCCGGAGGCGCCAAGGGAGGAGGGCAAGCGCATATCTGAGAAACCCGCGCAGGACATCCGAGAAACTGCAGCAGGGGCTCGACCACAAGAAACCTCCCATCGATTTTTGGCGTGGGAACGTCACGCTCTCCATGGCAAAACCATCGAAAGCCAAGAAAACCAGGGACCCTGGAGGCAAGCATTGTGTTTCATGGCATTGGCCCCCACAACAGGTGCATGCAGTTGCCTGGGCTTCGACCACCGTGCTGGCATAAAAAAAGTGCTGCACGGAGAATGAGTAGGCTTGCCTGGCCACGGCAGGCCTCGGCTTCGAGGAAGGCCCCCAACCTTGGGTCTTTAAGGACAGCGGCGCGAAAGCCAGCTACCCTCCCTGACTGAGCCTAGAGTAACTCCTGAATCAAATGCAGCATGCCCCGTCGAGTGCTCCGAAACGTTGGTCTTTGAGCCACCGTGAGCTTTCAAGGTTCGCAGCACCACAGCGGCGCTGGGGTAACCGTCGCGCCGAAGAACTTCAACTTGCGAAGTTAAGAAACACTTCGCTCATGACAAAGAATATCCAGTATGCGGCATTATACCAAGCCGATCTCAAACGAGCAGAGAACTCATCGATCATATTACCGATCCTGGAAACTCTAGCACCCGATACTTTGATAGTTCCCAACCATCCTGTGGTGTTGGGTCCTCGTTTTGAAGAGACGTCGCCCCGCGTTCCTCCTCCTCCTTCCTCCTCCTCCCTTTCCTCCCCCCTCCCCCCCCCCCTCCCACACCCATTCTGGCACACCCCTCACACGCTTCGTGGCCCCATAAAGGGGGCCCCACCGAAGGCCCCAGTGGCTGCGCCCGCATGCGGTTCCATCCCCCATTCTGGCACACCCCTCGCACGTTTCGTGGCCCCATAGGGAGCTCCACCGAAGGCCCCAGTGGCTGCGCCCGCATGCGGTTCCACCCCCCATTCTGGCACACCCCTCACACGTTTCGTGGTCCCATAGGGAGCTCCACCGAAGGCCCCAGTGGCTGCGCCCGCATGCGGTTCCCCCCCCCATTCTGGCACACCCCTCACA